CGAGATCATGGATACCAGACAAGATACGCATATTTTGATAACGATAGACTTTTCAGCTATAAATATGAATTTGAGGCTATGTCGCGGTAGTCTGGATTCCTGCTGAGAGGACAGCAAACTGAGATACATGGTCTCCATGACAAGAAACTGCTACGAAAAGCTCCATTTATGAACATATATATAAGGAACTTAGCCGACGGCCCTGCAATCGCCAACCATACAAAGATGAAAGTGGCCTGAAAAGTGAGACAGGATGCTCTGTTCTTGGACATATGAAAAATGCAACATTGCAATTTTGACAGAAGCAGCAAAAACTCACCAACGAAAGATCAGCATCGCTCTGTGGAGGAACGAAATACTCGAAGACCTTGAGACATAGTAAAGGCAGCCAAGAGAGGACGAAAGCAACCAGCAAAAACATTGTGAGCACAAAATTGGGATCGGTTTCGATCACCATACGCTGGCTATCTTCGAGCTGTAAACAAAATATGCAACTTCAGATGAGGTACACCATCAAGCGCCAAAGTAGTGGATTTTATTTTCATAGTAAAAACGAGAATTACATTAAAAAGCTATACTCAAAACAGAACTGATAACTCCTACACTAATTCTGTAGAGAATGAGAACAACATCCAAGGTTTTTTTGTTAAATCTGTGGAAAATTACTGCCCAACCAAGAAGATGGTGGGTTGGTAGTAATTTACCGTGCTTATTTGCTGGTTCCAAACTTTTGACCAAATGCTGTTTAAGTTCGAAAGTCTTTTCCCTCCTCTACAAAACTACGCTCGATGCTTCTAAAAACTATTGAGTGAAATGTATACAACAGCATTTTTGACACGTGCTAGTGTTTGCCTGAACGTGGCCAAAAAAATTGCGGCAGGCTTTATCTGTTCCGTAAGTGAAGATGTTGTTTGTAGCAGGGCGGAAGAATCTAATTTCACAATACAACAGGCTTTAGGGTAATCTGTTCGCGCTGAAGCGCATCATCGCATATGCGCTCTCTAAGATTATTTTACTCATTTTTTCCTGTATGTGGTTCTGCGGCCTCTTTATCCCCATTCTATTACCCGTCACGTAAAGTAGCAACTTGACAATTATTTTTATAACCCAACAGCAGATGTTTTGATTTTCATTCTCTTCTAAATCCTTACTTTACTCAAACATTGCCAAAACATTTGCGGAGCAAATGAGTCTACAAAAACCAGATCATATTTTTGCTACATTTTAAGTGCGTAATCTTCGCTCTATTTCAGATATCTTTTCTTTATTCTACATCAAATCACCCCAGCTTAGTGAGTATGGTAACCTTATTCTGTGCCTTCACCATTGTTTCTAGAATTAAGCAAACCTAAATTTTGACGGTTATCTTAGGTTGCTCTCAAATATGTACTCTCATTTTGTTGATTCGCATAAAAGAAACGCCATAGAAAATTGACTTTGACCACCACTTAATCTTTTTTTGATGGCCATTATCCAGGAAAGGTTTTTAAATCGGTCACTTGGTCCAGTTATAAGTCCTCCCAAGCCACTACTCCCGACGCAAGCTCTCCTGTTGGGACTTTTAAAATGGTGCCGTGTTTAATCACTTAGAACTTTAATCGCATTCCAAATTGTGCATCGTACAATGAAACCTAGGAGTTATCAGTACATAACAATGGATATTTCGCAACTCATAGAAGAAAAATGCCCTTGCATAACAGCAAAAATGAACATGCAGTGAGTGTTTGCAGGAATATCTGCTCACTAAAGATTAGCCAAAATGGCTTACCGAAAGTTCCCCATTAACCCTGTTTAAATTTGAATTTGGGCAAGAAATCACTGAAACAACTTCTTGAAATTAGAAAACAAAATAAAGAGCATATAGGTGATTTGGTATTATTCATCTCTGTTCAGTTAAGCAGACTCAAACTTATCTCTTTGGAAAGCTCATTACTTAAAAAAACATTTGAAACACTTGCAAGTAACGTTGCAGTATCATAATATTATAAGAATAAAGTATTTGCCGCTCCACATTAACAACGGCGCTCCATGCAAAAGGTGAAGCCTGTTTTCTCTTGAGGCTCGAGTGGCGCGTCTTTGGCTGTCAATGTATATGCTTGCTATAACAAAAATAATTGAGCGTTTTACCTTTTAAGGCAACAAAGAGATGAGTATCAACTATCTGCTAGCTCGATGAAAGAGTAGTAAAGCGCTCAGGCCAGGGTCAGAACTGTTTTTCTGATTTTAAAGCATTATAGAAGCAGTGCCTTCTTTGCTAGGTTAACAATCAATTAGAACACTCTAGGCTCCCATTAATTTCCAATCATAAGCAAGGTGTAGCCTTCGTAACGGAGTATTTCTCAAGAACTAGGCAAACAGCTTCCTAATAGGCTTCGCGTTTTCTTCTAGCATTTCAGATAGAACTGCTTTTCAAACATTTCAAAAATTCCAGTAATTTAAGAAAAGATCTAGGTATGGAAAATATGATTTTTGCCGACGTGACATTTTGTTCCTCAGTTCAAAAGTGTCAAATAATTTTGCGATATGAAGAACGGTTTTTTTTGGAGGGGCAAAGAGCTTTCCATTGACAACTGGTCAACATTCAACAAGAGTGCAGAAGCTTCAGGAAAAACTGCGGGAAATTATATAAAACCTAATATAACTGACTTTA